AACATCCATGCTAATCCTCCTCTTTTTGCTGAGGAAGACCGGCTCTGAGCTAACATCTATTGCCAATCCTCCTCCTTTTTTTCCCCAACGCCCCAGTGGATAGTTGTATGTCATAGTTGCACATCCTTCTAGTTGCTGTATGTGGGATGCGGCCTCAGCATGGCCGGAGAAGCGGTGCGTTGGTGTGCGCCTGGGATCCGAAGCCAGGCCGCCAGCAGCGGAGCGCGTGCACCCAACCGCCAAGCCACGGGGCCGGCCCCATACAGTTCCTTATAAGTGGGAAAAAAAAATTGGCATTATGTCTCAAAATCCATAAATGTGTTTATGCCCTTCAACTCTGTAATCCATTTCTGAAAATTTGTACTAAGAAGGTCTTGCAAATGAAGGGAACCACTCTATGCCAAGGCCTTGCAGCAATGTTGCCAATTCTAAAATAGCAGAAACCACCTAAAGATCTAACAGCAGTGGACTGGTTGAGTAAGCTGTGGTTTATCCACTAGACAGAATATTTTCCATTCACTGAAAGTTACATGTAAATCCGTCTGCCCCAAAAGGATTTGGGGGTGGGCTGGACTTAGTGACTTGCTTCTAAAGAACAGAGTAGAGAAAGGGGAAGAGAGTAACTTGACAGTGGAGGCACGTAGATGCCACATATAGTGGGTGGAACAGTGGCCCCTAGAGACAGGTCCACATCCTCACCCCAGAACCTGTGGACGTGACCTTATTTGGAAAAAGAGTCTTTTCAGATGTGATTAGGCTAAGGATCCTGAGATGAGATCGTCTGCGATTTAGGATGGAGCCAAAGCCCAAAGAAAAAGGCAGAGGGAGATCTGAGACACAGACAGAGAAGACAGAGGCAGGGATTGGAGGGATGCGGCCACAAGCCAAGGAAAACTTGGAGCCCCAGAAGCTGGAAGAGACAAGGAAGGCTCCCTCCCGAGAGCCTCCACAGGAAATGTGGCCTTGCTGACACCTTGATGTTGGACTTTTGGCCTCTAGAATTGTGAGAGAATAAATTTCTGTTGTTTTAAGCCACGAAGCTTGTGATCATTTGTTACGGCAGTCCCAGGAAACTCATACACCACCTGGACCAAGTGATCCAGATTACATCGCTGTGATTAAGTCATGTGGATGTCAGAGATCCCCCATATGGCGAGGAGAGAAGGGCATCTCACCTTTGTGGTCTTCCCCAAACACCCATAACCCCGTTCTAATCATGACAAGACCATCAGACAGACCCAGGTTGGGGGCATCCTGCAGGATGCCCGGCCAGGCCTCCCCAAGACTGCCAAGGTCACGAGCAACAGGAAAGACAGAGGAGCCGTCCCAGACCAGAGGAGACTGGGGAGACATGACGACTGAACGCAGTGGGGTTCCCTGTGAGGACGGGGTCCTCGAGCAGAGAGAGGACACACGTGGAAGCACTGGTGACATTCGAATAATGTCAGGAGGTCATTAATAACAGTGTGCCAATGTCAGTTTCTTAGTTGTGACGGATGCGCCCTGAGAATGTAAGACGTTCACATTCAGGGAAGCTGGGTGAGGAGCTTAGAAGACTCTCTGTATGGTCTTTGCAACTTTTCTGTAGATCTGAACTATTCTAATATAGAAAGCTTATTTTAAAAAATCACATGACGTATATGCTACATGTAAGACATGTTATGATGTTATGTTAGAGATGCATTGTACAAAATAATTGTGAGGAGGAGGAAGAGGAGGATGGGGATGGAGCTGTTTATGTGGGCTGAGGGCTCAGTTCCTCCTTGAACTCCGACATCTAACCTGTGAGACACTTCCAGGGTTTTCCTTCACGTGACAGGCGGGGAAACTGAGGCACCACACATGCATCCCCATTAGTACCAGACTCTGGGTGTCAGATGCTCTGGCGGCACAAATGCCACCCGGGGAGACACGGGGGGCTGGGCTGGGCTACTCGGAGGTTAAGATTTCTCTTCCTAAATTTTGGTTTCTGCTGTTTTAAGCTGCAGGTGGAAACCCCCCTCAACGATGTCCACAGCCCCTGAGGATTGCTGCAGCCACCTGCAAAAGGAGGCAAGAAACAAAGAAAACTGCTAGAAAATTGTGTATCTCCTTTCAATCCAGCAAAGTACGCTCCTGCGTCCTGTGGAACATAAACCGATGTTTTTTCCCTGTAAGGTATAGAAATCTAAGTTCTTTTTTTTGTGTGTGTGTGAGATTAGCCCTGTGCTAACATCTGCCAATCCTCCTCTTTTTTTTTGCTGAGGAAGACTGGCCCTGGGCTAACATCCATGCCCATCTTCCTCCACTTTAAAGATTTTATTTATTTTATTTTTTCCCCCCAAAGCCCCAGTGGATAGTTGTGTGTCGTAGCTGCACATCCTTCTAGTTGCTGTATGTGGGACTCGGCCTCAGGATGAACGGAGAAGTGGTGCCTCGATGCGCACCCGGGATCCGAACCCGGGCCGCCAGCATCGCAGCGCGCGCACTTAACCACCAAGCCACAGGGCCGGCCCTCTTCCTCCACTTTATATGGGACACCGCAACAGCATGGCTTGCCAAGCAGTGCGTCGGTGCGTGCCCGGGATCCGAACCGGGGAACCCCGGGCCACCACGGTGGAGCACGCGCGCTTAAACGCTTGCGCCACCGGGCCGGCCCCTCTAAGTTCTTTTTTGAATATTGTGGATGGTAAAATATAATTTTGGATCTGAAACAAGTAACATCATAATGACATTCCTAACTAGAATTAGTATGTCCGTTTTTGTATCTTGATGCTGTATTTTAACGCTTTGTATTACTTAGCTTTTTTGCTTTGGTTAAAAATAGCTCAAGTAGATAAGTGGTCCCACTCATGAAAGACCATGTACAGAAGGGTAAATAAAACGTGTCCAGGGAGTTGTCTTTTAGGCAAAAGAAAAGGGAGGGTGCCGAGGGTACAAACTCAGAACAAAAGTTTCCTGCCCAGCTGTGGGGAACAGGTTCAATGCCTTAGACATCTCCCCACAGAATCCTCAGGACTGTGGCCAGCTGGATCACCTCAGGGGGTGCCGTCACTGCTCATCTTTGCCAAGCCTCCCTTTCTGTCCCCATCCTGGGCCTGGCTTGCTGATCGACATGTCTCCAGCCTTGGGGACACTCTGTTGAGGCCGGAGCCCCAGAGGCCACTGGGGAGGTTTTCCCAAGGACTTTCAGGTGTCTGTCTGTGTCTCTTCGGAGAAGCTAGACACCCAGACACCTTCAGGGGTCAAAGCCTCCGGGTCGGGGCATCGAGTGAGTCCTTCTTCCCTCCAGGAGGCCAAGAGCCCCGGTGGGCCTTTCCTGGCCACTGGCAGCCTGACTGAAACAAAACACCATTTGTACCTTGGCCAGCACGCTCCTGGGGCGCAGGAGCCGAGGAACAGAGTATGGTTGTTTCAGCGGAGGACGGGGTGGTGGTTGGGGCCTCGACTTTGTTTTCATCTCCCAGAGTCAGAAGCAGCAGAGACTCCCCAGGAGGAGCGTGGAGAAACTCATCCATCGTCCGCCGCGCTCTGCAGCGCAAGTTCCTTAGCTGGACGCAGGGCCTGCTTGACCCAGCGCTGCCCCCACCCCCACACATCCCCACTGCCAGCGCATGGATTGAGCACCTACTGTGTGGAAGCCAGGTGCAGCCTCAACGTTCTTGCTGCCTGTGTGTGTGCGTGTGTGCGTGTGCGCGTGTGCGCGTGTACGTGTGTGCGTGTGTGGGGGGAGGGCGGGGCAGTGGAGTTGTAAGGCAGGGCAGGATGTGTGCTCGGGAGCCCTCCGCAGTGGCTGATCACCAAAAGCGCCTCCTCCATCTTTTTTTTTTATTTTTTGTGAGGAAGATCAACCCTGAGCTAACATCTGCCAATCCTCCTCTTTTTGCTGAGGAAGACTGGCTCTGGGCTAACTTCTGTGCACATCCTCCTCCACTTTATATGGGACACTGCCACAGCATGGCCCGACAAGTGGTGCGTCGGTGCGCGCCCAGGATCCCAACCGGCGAACCCCGGGCTGCCGCAGCAGAGCGTGCACACTTAACCGCTATGCCACGGGGCTGGCCCCCATCGCCCCCTCCATCTTTTAGCCTCAGCTCCCTAAAGGACTCGAACATCTCGAGACCACCTGGAGGAAAAAGAGGCATTCACCCTTTTAAAGGCGCCTGTCTGCCCAGATGTCCCTCTGCCTAACTCGGCCAGAAGACCCATCCAGTCCCCCAGGGGGGCCCGGTTTACCCTGACAGAGCCAAAAGGAAGGAGCCCCAAGAGGGAGCCGTGTGGTCCCCATGGGCTCCCATTCTCCCTCCCTCCCTCCCAAGGCCCCCTCAGTGGCAGCTGGCGATACTCAGAGAGCCTGGAGACCCGCCTGGAGAGGCGCACGGTGCTCGGCTTGCTGTGGTGGTGGGCCCCCAAACTCCCAGTGCTGTCGGGGTGGAAGCCCACAGAAAAACGCAGCTCCCCGCCACCCCCAAGCCAGCCTCCAGCATGGTTGGTTTTGCTCTACTCAGCACATTTATTGAGCACTGACTGTGTGCTGGGCCCTGTGCGAGCAGTGACCTAGTCAGACGGGGTCCTGGCCCTCCCAGGGCTCACAGTCCAGAGGGAAGGGCAGTGGACAGCTACACGGTTGCATGAATACACGTGAAATTACCGCAGTGAGGCGTGTTAGGAGAGATTGGAGATGACATTGAGGGAGGGCACATGGAAGGGACTGGATACACTGGGTGTTTGTTGATTGACTAAGCAATACATCATGCTCATCTTTCCATGTGCAAACACATGGGCCCATTCTGTTGAAAAATAAAAAGATGCCCTATGAAGACATTCTGTGTGACCACATTGTTTTCTATGCAAATATTCTTTTTTTTTTCCTGAGGAAGATTCGCCTTGAGCTAACATCCAAGCTGATCTTCCTGTATTTTTCAGTATGTGGGCTCCCAGCACAGCAGGGCTGCTAACAGAGCGGCGTAGGTCTGTGCCTGGGACGGAACCCGGGCCGCAGACGCAGACTGCACTGAACTTACCCACTGGCCGCTGGGGCCAGCCCCAGCGTACTCTTCGTTCTAGACTTCACCCTCCCCCCAGGACTCCCTGGGGCCCCAGCACTCTCCCACTCCCGTTTCACAGATGAGGAAGCTGAGGCTGGGGTGGGAATGTGACTCATCTGTGGGCGGGTCAGAGCAGCACAGGAAAAGCCAGGCAGAACCTGGACCCAGCCGGCTGGCTCCAACCGTCGTGTTTTCTGTCCTCCATTCTCACCCTAAGAAAACTGCATAAAAATTTTAAAAGGAACAGTTCTTTTTTTTGCTGAGGAAGATTGTCCCTGAGCTAACGTCTGTGCCCATCTTCCTCTATTTTGTGTGTGGGTTGCTGCCACAGCGTGGCTGCTGACGAGTGGTGTAGGCCCGAGCCTGGGACTGAGCCTGGGCCACTGAAGTGGAGCGCACCAAACTTAACCACTAGGCCGCAGGGCCAGCCCTGGAACAACTCTTCACAAGTGAATTTTTTTACAACTCTGGGAAATAAGGTGTGGTCCATTACATAGTACCAATGTCAACCTACTGGTTTTGACAATGGTTTAGTGAGATAGACCATTTCACTGGGGGAAGCTGAGTTAAGGGTCCAGGGAAACTCTGTACTATTTTTGCAATTTTGTGTCAGTCTTAATTAAACTATTTCAAAATGAGAAGTTATAAAAGTCGAGTGGCCAAAAGAATTGAAAGCAGGGTTTCAAAGGGATACTTGTACACCCACGTTCATAGCAGCTCTATTCATAATACTCAAAAGGAGGAAGCAACCCAAGTGTCCACTGGTGGATAAATGGATAAACAAAATGTGGTACATCCATACAGTGGAATATTATTCAGCCTTAAAAAGGAAGGAAATTCTGACACATATGACATGGATGAACTTTGAGGATGTTATGCTCAGAGAAACAAGCCAGTCACAAAAGGACAAATATTGCATGATTCCACTTATAAGAGGTGCCTAGAGTCATCAGATTCACAGGGACAGAAAGTAGAATGGAGGGTGCCAGGGGCTGGGGGAGGGGGATGGCAAATTGTTGTTTAATAGGGACAGAGTTTCAGTTTTTTGACATGAAAAGAGATCTGGAGATGGATGGTGGTGATGGTTGAACAATAAGGTGAATGTCCTTAACACTACTGAACTGGACACTTACAAATCGTAAATTTTGTGTTGTGGATTTTGCCACAATTAAAAAACCCTCTAGTGGCATGGGGTTTTTTCCTTTTCTTTTCTTTCTTTCTTTCTTTCTTTTTTTTTTTTGGTGAGGAAGATTGGCCCTGAGCTAACATCTGTTGCCAATCTCCCTCTTTTTGCTTGAGGAAGATTGTTGCTGGGCTAACATCTGTGACAGTCTTCCTCTATTTTGTATATGGGATGCCGCCACAGCGTGGCTTGATGAGTGGTGTGTAGGTCTGCACCCAGGATCTGAACCTCTGAACCCTGGGCTGCCGAAGCAGAGCGCATGAACTTAACCGCTACGCCACTGGGCTGGTCCCCACTAGCAGCATCTTTGAAAAAGGAAAATGTCCATATCATATTTATTTCTGAGTTGTTGATGTATGTACATGGCACAAGATGTGTTGGGGTTGTCTCCCCTCCATCCTCACTTTCACACACTCCCATGCGGGTTTCCTCCCTGGAGGCCCCAGTGTTATCAATTTCTTGCTTTTCCTTCCTGAGATATTTTCTGCATTTGCAAACACATTTGTGTGTGTCTTTCTTTCGCTTACATTTGTTTTTCATTCCATAAACGCTTCCACACTGTTTTTTTAGTGATAAAATACACATAACATAAAACTTACCACTTAAGCCATTTTAAAGTATACAATTCAGTGGCATTAAATACATTCATCATGTTGTGCAACCATCACCTCTATCTAGTTCCGGAACATTTTCATTACCCAAAAAAGAAACCCTGTCCCCATGAGCAATCACTCCCCATCCCCCCACCCCCAGCCCCTGGCGACCACTAATCTGCTTTCACTAATCTACTAATCTACAGGATTTGCCTGTTCTGGACGTTTCATATAAATGGGATCACACACTATTTGTCCTTTTGTGTCTGGCTTCTCTCACTCAGCGTGAGGTTTTGAGGTTCATCCACGTTGTAGTGTGTGTCAGAGCTTCGTTCCTGTTTAGGGCTGAGTACTATTCCATTGTGTGGATGGACCGCATTTTGTTTGTCCACTCATCCATCAATATCATCCATTGATGGACATTTGTTTTTTCCAACCTTTTGGCGTTTGTGAACAGTGCTGTCATGAACATTCACGTGCAAGTATTTGTTTGAACACCTACTTTCAATTATTTGGGGTTTATACCTAGGAGTGGAGTTTCTGGGGCCTATGGTAACTTGGTTTAACTTCTTGAGGAGCTGCCAAACTTTTGCACAGCAGGGGCACCACTTTATTGCACTTGGCTTGCCAGTGTAACCATCTTGCTTTTTTTTTTTTAAGAGCCCTCCCCCCACCACCGCAAGCTGTGTTGTTGATGACACTGTTGCTCCTCCTGGAGCACACATCTTGGCAGCTCCTTTTCTGAGTCTGCTTGTGCCCAGTACTGCTGCAAATCCTAGCCCCTCCCATGTGTGACTTGGGACATGTGGCTTAGCCGCTCTGGGCCTCAGTTTCCTCACTTGCAAAATGGGATAAGAATAGTTCCTCCCTCAAGTGTTTTGTGACGTTAAAAAAGAGGACCCCAGGGGGCCAGCCCAGTGGCACGGCAGTTAAGTGCGCGCGCTCTGCTTCAGCAGCCCGGGGTTCACAGGCCCGGATCCGGGGCGCGCACCGACACACTGCTTGTCAAGTCATGCTGTGGCGGCGTCCTGTATAAAGTAGAGGAAGATGAGCATCGGATGTTAGCCCAGGGCCAGTCTTCCTCAGAAAAAAAAAAAAAAAGAGGACCCCAGTGATGGGCTTAAACAGGGCCGGCATGTGGTTTGGGCTCCCAGTGAACTCGAGCCTTTACTCCCAGTCTCTCTCGGCAGAAGCGTGTGACTCAGTTTCTCCCATCACTGCCAACTCTGGGCATTACCAGCTTCTCCTCTTTCTTCCAGTGCAAAGAGGGACAAACGAAACCGGCTGTGGCTTCCCTCTTTCTCTGCCTCCAGCTTCCAGCAACACGCGCCCTTTGCACCAGACACTTATTACACGTTTGAGCTATAAAACCTGATTCTTGGTAAGATTTTTGTTCTGTTCTCTTCTCCCACTTGGCGTGGGTCTTGCGCCCACGGCCGGCCCAGGCCGGCTCTCAGATTTTCTGAATTCTACCTGAAGCTGCCAGAGACCAAAATAGCGGCTGAGTGTGTGACCTCCGCTCTGAGCTTGTAAACAGGGCTCAGGCCAGTCCCGAGAACTCTGCCCTGGGTGTTCTGAGGCCTGCGCCCAAGGCAGATGACTCTTCCTCAGCACCCTGGCTAGTTGGGGGCCACGGCTGCCTGGAACGTGTTGTCAGTGACCCAAGTCCAACGTCCAGCCCTGTTTCTGAGGATATGGCCAGAAACTCAACTCTACTTTTCTGGCTGTTTTTGGAGGAATTTCGGCCTCTGATTAACTTTGGTGGGGGACCAATTGTGTGCCAGGCACGTAGTGGGTGTAGGGAAATGACTGTAATGGAGCACACTCTCTGCCCTGGGAGTCCTAACCCCTGTCAGAGGAAATGGGAAACAAACCAGAACAGCAGCGCTTCTACAGTAACGATTTCTGAACATGATTGCTGCTATTAGAGGATGAAACAAGGAAATGAGACGGATCTGCTGGGAGTAGGGGCAGGGAACAGTGTGGATTTCAGCCCGGGGTGGGGGCCAAGGAGGGGCCCAAGAGCTGGTGACAGTCAGGGAGGGCCCCTAGAAGGAGGTGAGCTTCCAGCTGAGCCCTGCAAGAGGAGCAGCAGCTAGGTTTGCATGTTCCAGGCAGGGAGAACAGCAAGTGCAAAGGCCCTGAGGTGGGACTGTGTGAGGCCCTTGGAAGACAGCCAGGGTTGGAGCAGGGTGAGTGTTGGGGAAATGGAGAGACGGGAGGCTGAGGTCTCTGGGGCCACATCGGCCTCCTTAGCAACATAGGAGCCCGCAGAAAACCTTCGACACCTCCCAACTGTGGGTGCCAGCTTTTCACCTATTTGGTTCCCCCTCAACCTCCTGGCCTGAATGCTGCTTCTGTGACCCCAGGAGGCTCCAGCTGAGTGGCCTTCCGAACCTCGCCCTCCTCAGCCTCAGTTTCCTCATCTGTAACACGGGGTGAGTAATGGAGCCTTGCTCACAGGGAGGTGCCCCCCCCAGATAATTCACAGCAGTGCTCATACAGCAGGCGCGCAGTGAACACTTGCAGAATAAATGGCTCGTCCCCAGCGCCCGACTCAGTGAGTTCAAGCGGCCACACCCTAGAGGACGAGTTGTCCCCATCTTACAGGTGGGGAAACTGAGGCTGGAGGGCGGGGAGCCGGGCGCTCCTGGGTCGAGCATCGCATTCGGGGCGCGCACCCAGCGTCCCGGGCCCGGGGGCGCGCACGCCGAGCGGCC